TGCTGCCTTATCTCAAAGAAAGCGCGAGTATAGGTTCTACCAAATTTTGGGAAGTGTCGATTGGTTCTGAAAGGACACTCCCACACTCATTTTCAGTATATAAAAGGAGCTGTCGAAGACAGAAACTTACACTCACACTTAGACTTAGACTTAGACTTATACTCACACTTACACTCAGACTCACTCTTGTACTTACACTCACTCTTACACTCTCAGACTTACTCTTAGACATACTCTTACACTCAGACTCTCTCTTGCACTTAGACTTAGATTTAGTCGTAGCGTTTTACAAGTGATGGGAAGTACTTTCATTAATGTATTTTTTAATGTTCATGTGAAATAAATAACATTCTTTCATTAAAAAACGCTACGAATTAATTCCAACACCTAATATATATATATATGAATATCTGAGGGATTGTTGCGACTGTCGCTGCCAATAGCGTGGCCCCCGTTTGTCGGCACTTCCTCGGAGAATTCATAATTTCCTCGTATCCAGAGTATCCTCGTATCCTTAACTACACAACTTAATCTCCGGTCCCCGAGTAAATTGTTTAAATACATTGACTCAAAAACGGAGAAAAATCTCAATAATAACATTGAGACGTAACAATTTTATAAAATCAAATTTTTCCATTATTTAATATTAAAACAATTAATATATTCTAATGATATAGTGATAAGTACCCAGTCATATGGAATTCCAGGATCTTCTTTCGAACTAGGAGAGCTCTTGCAATCTTTCTCTTCATCCTTCGTGAGAATCTCATCGTCAGATTTATCCTCTTTATCTTTCTCTACTTGATCTTCTTTCTCTCTCTCATCCTCCTTCGTCAGTTCGCTCTGATTTAATCGAGGACTGTGCGCCGGATTAACTCCCGGTCCCGATCTGGGAGCAGGAGTCGCTGAACTTTGACGATTCGGTTCCGCAGTGTAGCTTGCCGCGCCAGTAAGATTATTCTGATGCAATGGTTGACTCTGTACACCGATGTTAGATGTCATATCTTTGCTGCTTTTATCACACGGCGTATTGGGAGGGTGAGTACCGATGGGTTGTTGTGAGGTCTTGGACTCGTCGGGTCGTGAATTTATATCCGTGCCGTGACCGGTAGCGTAGTCGTACGACTGATTCGGATAATTCTGCGACGGAAAATAGTTATTTGGATAACGGTTCATGCCGGGATTCATTTGATCTCTGTAGTATGAATCACTGCATTGCTGATCCGGTCGGAACGTCTGCGGATAATTACGTTGCATATAATAAGGTTCCTCCTTGATCTGTCCGATCGCCGCTGGATTCTGATGCGAACCATCCGATGGATAATTCGGCATAACGGGGTTCTGTGTATGTGGTTGGTTAGCGCTATAATTATTACCAGAATTACCGGCAGTGCCTGCGCTCGAACGATCGTTCGAAAATTCATTTGGAGCATAACTTTGCGTTTGCTGAGACACTGCGGCATCTTGCCTTGGATAAAGTTGATCATTCTGACCCAGAGATGGATTAGGCTGTTGTTGATTCGATGGATATGCCATAGGTTGATTCTGTGCCACCTGTGTCTGCTGTGCGGTTCCGTATCGATGTGCGGGATTTTGTGGCATCGTACCTGGGCCTGGATGATTTGACGGATAAGTAGAATGAGCCTGATTCGACGGCGGTACCGTCGGACCTGGCTGATTTTGCTGAGGATATGATCCTGCCTGATTGGAAGTTGCAGATTGGGGCACCATATGATGGCCATAACCGTGAACTGCATTCTGTGGATTCGGCGTTTGATTCGATTGATCTGGAGGATACCTATGCGTCTGATTTTGTGTATTGACGTTTTGCGCCGGTTGATTGGCTGAATAATTGGATTGGCTTTGCGCTACGTTCATTTGACCCTGCGGTGCCGATGTATAGCCACGTATCGGACCCTGTTGAATGGGCCCTTGATTTGATTGGTTCGGCTGCATGTAACCATGTGATGGAGTTTGTGACATTGGAGTCGACTGCTGATTAAATGCATGCGGAGTCTGCGGAGGAGTTGGATTCACTTGCGTAGGATAGCCATGTGTTTGACCCTGAAGAGACACACTTTGCGGTTGCTGGTTTGCATATGGATGAGGCTGATTCTGTAAACCTAGATTCTGATTCTGCTGATTCGGTGAGAAGCCACGATTTTGACCAGGTGATGTGTTCTGGTTCTGCTGCGGCGCCATGTAACCAGTGGTCTGTGTTTGAACCGTTGGTGACTGACCTTGTTGAGATGCCGGATACCCTATCGTCGAATTTTGCAGCGGTTGCGTATCATTACGCGGATACATTGAATTTGCCTGAGCCGGCGTAGGTGGGTAATTTTGATTTTGATTCGTAGTGTATGACGAGTAATCTTGCATCGGCATATTCGTGGACTGATTCGGCATCTGAGACTGGAAAGATGGTTGATTAGGGACCTGAGGATAATTACTAGGCCCCTGGTTTAGATTTGGCGTATAATTACGTTGTTGCTCCTGATAGGAATAATTCTGTCGTGGAAACATCCCGGGCGCTTCGTAATTATTTCCTTGATTCTGATCCGATCGGAAATCGGATCCAGACACTGCACCAGTTGCTGCACCGCTGTACCTCTGAGGATGATTAGCGGACTGCTCGTTCGATTGCATATAGTTCTGCGACTGATTGGCGTATCCTTGCGATGTATTGTAGCTTGTTGACGTTTGAGTATATGACTGGAACGGTTGTTGATTGCCGTACCTTTGTTGTCCTTGATTATTATAGAACTCTCCTTGATTATATTCTCCGTGATTGTTGCTATCGTTCCTATAATATGTATTTTGATCATTCGGACGATAGTTTTGATAACTTTGAGGAGGATAAGATCCCTGCGGCATGTTGTTGGAATATCCCGAGTTAGAAACTGGCATCGTATAATTAGTATAGTTATTTTGTTTCGGAGTGTTGTGCGCATTTTCAGCCTCCGCATTATCGTTGCTTGACGATGAAGAAGCGTTCGGTTGTACGCTGGCTGCGGGCTTGTTCTTTATCGTCGTGCCTTTCTTGGATTTCTTAGACTCCCCTTTCGGCTGACGCGCTTTGGCTTTCTTGCCACCTGCTGTAGATTTTTCTCCTATCGTCTCCTCGAGATCCAAATCATCCTCTTCATTCGCTTGACGCTTACGGAGAAAATAATATAGGATGTCCGGATGATTCCAGATCTTACAGCACACAGCAAAAGCTTTCAATGGATTCGGCACCGCGCGCGTTTTCACCACCTGATTCATAAACGTATCGTATAATTTGCGTTGATGAGGCGTCATCCTGACTAAGAGAATGTATTCCTCCTTACGCGGCAATGACATTTGCAATACAGAATGAGATCTTCTCTGCACAAAACCCTCCAGCAAAGCATGCAATACGTGCGCGCGATATCGCATCAAGCGAATATCCTGCGGCGTGGAGTCAATACATTGACCATTCTGTATCGGTCTCTCGAACATGTTGCAGAACTCGCTCTTGGTGCCTAGATAGTTAGGCCTCACAAAGTCCACCATGCACCAATACTCAAGTAGATTGTTCTGTAATGGATAACCGGTTAGTACAATTCTACGTTTCGTGCGCATTTGCTTCAATGCCATGCTGATGCTCGCATGTGAATTCTTAATTCGATGACCTTCATCGCAGATTACTAAGTCCGGTCCAGGATTCACCAGAGCCGTATGCATCTCGTCTAGCAAACCTTTGTTTTTATCCTCCTCCTCTACATCTACCGTGTCTTTGAAAGGTTGTCCACGTTTTCGTTTTGCTTTATTGGGCTTTTTCAAAGATAATTGTCTATACAATTCGTATCCTATTAACAAAACTCCGCCGTTTGATTGCCATTCTTGTATTACCTTCGCTCTCGCGGTCATAGTTTTATGTGAATCGTTCAAGATGTGTAAGCGGAAGTGCCTCGGGCGTACTTCCATGCCAATTGGTGTGTCTACATCGTACGGCGTTTTCACTTTCTCTATCGTTTCTTTTTTCTCCTCCGTTAATTCCTCTTTCATTGTTGAAGTACCCTCTTCTTTCTTTATTATCTCTTCCGGTTCTTTCTTCACAATAACCTCTGTATTTTGAAGTGACATTCCTCCCGGCAGCATGTTTTCTTTCTTCGGTTCTCGTTCTAATTCTTGCTGATTCGTCTGACTGCCATAGCTCGTAAAAGTGCCGGGAATGTTGTTGTAATTAGAATACATCGGATTGGTATGATGATTACCCATACCCGGATACATCGTCACGGAATTTCGATTCTCCATATTGGAATACATCGGATTGGTATGATGATTACCCATACCCGGCGACCGATTCTCCATGCCAGGATACATAACATCAGTACCCTGATTTTCCATGCCGAACTTTGGCCCCGCCATGTTCTGTCCGGGCGGTATACCATGGCAGTTTCCTGGATCTGGCTTCATCTGGTCAGAGAAGTTGGAAAGCGGATTCGGATTCGTATTATACAATGGATTCTGCGGTATCTCACCCTGATGATAATTCGGTGGCATATGTGGTATATGAGGCTCAGATATGTTCTTATTCATCATAGTAGGATCCTGTATGTAACTCGGCATTATGTTGCGCTGTTCGTAACCATGATGTGGATTTGCATAAGGATTCTCCGGCATGACGTTCACTGATTGTTGCGATGCACCGACAGCGGTTGTTGCGTCTTGACCAAAACGGTGCGCGGACTCTGTACTGATAGGCCGCGATATATTAGACATGTCGCTCTGAGTGCCGCAACTTTCCTCCTTTACTTCATGCTTCATATCTATTCCTGGTTCCATTTTGATATTCGGCTTGGATTGTTTCTCAGCAGTAGTGGCGGGATCTTCATATGGTAGCCACATGTTGAACTCGGCCAGCCAATTTTGAAGCGTATTTATGGGCATGATACAGAGAACAGTTTTGGCAGTGGTGCATCGAAAAAAAATGTCGCAAAAGCTGGCGACTTGGAGAGTCTTGCCTAGACCCATACTATGGGCGAGAATACAACCAAAACCACTGCTAGTCTTATACCTCTCGATCGTTTCAATGATATTATCGAAGAGAAAGCGTATGCCACCGATTTGATGCGGCTTGATAATGCGAGCAACTTGTGGTGCTAGATACACAT